ACGCTCATTATGCTCAATTTACTCACCCGGCAATATTTGTGATCTCTAACGTGGCCACTTAACTCAATTGCTAATTTTACTTTTTTTTCCAAATGAATAGGGTTGCCGGTTTTCTGATAGGGAGAATTGGAGAGATTGTAGGAAATAAATATTGAGATAATTTATTTGCTATTAAATAAGGTACAACTGGGACTTATATATATATACGGCATGGATATATTTGTACTAACAACTGAATCTTTCTATAAATTAGGGCCCACAGAATGTGAAGCGATAGTGGATATAAATGGCATTTATAGCAAGAGCCATGTACACTGTATGCCTCAGTTAAATCGAAATGAGGTCATATGTCATATGTAACTCTGATTGATTGCTCAATATAATAGGGAGATATGCATCCAGCATCTGGAACTTTGAGGTCCACATATATCAATTTACAGGTGAATTGTTAGAAAATGTTCAAATAGGCGATCCTAAGGAAGCCAATATGAAGGGGGTCATTCGGGGATTTTTTAATAAATATATTATCAAGGACCCTCACATTTTCAGTAATATTTTTGCCAAAATATTTTTAAAATATATAACATAGTTTTTAGTGAATATTTTTTCCAGGTCATTCTTTTAAGAGGAGATTTTTGAAAGAATATTTTTTTAGGTCAGTCACCTCCATAAGCGTGGATTTTTAATAATAGGTCTTCAGTAATATTTTGCCCAAATATTTTCAAAATATATAGCAGATTTTTTAGTAAATATCTTTCAAGGACATTCTTTTAAGAGGAAATTTTTGAAAAAATATTTTTTAGGAAAATCACCTTCATAGCCTTGGATTTTTTAATAAATATTTTTTCAAGGATCCTCACCTTCTTTAGCAATATTATAGTAGATATCGGATATAAGCACCTCGCATATAAGAAAAAATCGCATATAAGAAAGGTTATCAGAAGCACCGAGCTAATACTTTCTTATATCCGATAATTCCATATAAGAAAAAAAAACGCATACAAGAAAGAAATCTCCAACTTTTTTTGAGTTTCTTATATCCGATATCTACTTTATTGCCAAATTATATATCAAATTTTTTAAAGGGCCTTCGCATTCTCGTCCTTATGTGGAATCCTATGACGAAGTCTTTATAGTCGAACAGAACGGATAGCTTGTAAATGATCTGGATGAAATGGGACTCTTTATTGACCATTTGAGGTTTTAGAGGCGTTAAAGAAGATCGTATTGTCTACCACTAGTAGGATGGCGAAGTAATTACACCAAAATATAGACATTTTTTAAAAAGGTCGACAGCCCTTAACCTTCTTGAGGTTTGAACATCAAGCTTCCTGTTTACAAAATTTCCCCGGGGAGATATGCAAAAGTACTCTTTATCTAGTGAGATCCTCCAATGCCGAATTTCAACAAATTTCATATCGAATATTGCCACAACTTAATTATGGTATCCCGCCAAAAACTCAAACTTTCAGAATACCTAAATGCCGGTGGCATTTTTAATTGCAGAATTTTTTAAATCCTTGTTTTTCAAAAATTGTCCATCGATGATGTATATTGAGGCTTTAATACTCAAATCACCCAAATTTTTCAATATCGAAGGATATAGATATTTCAGGGGTCAAATGAAATAGTGGACCTATATTGAGAAGATTTTTAGCCAAATCTGCTATAATAAGTCCTGAGTCAGTAAGGGAAGGATGAAAGTCTGAATTTATTATAGTCTATAAGAAATAATAGACGGAACTTAATACACATTCCCAATTTTGTTATATGAGCTAAATTAATACAAAATTTTTAATTAAATTAATACATAATTTAATTAAAATCCTTCTTGATTCACTTTATTCTAGTCTTATTTAGATCTCTTGTACAAAACTTCATGTCAATCAAAAAACGTAGTGTCTTTGGTGTACCATTGGAATAAAATCTGACGAAATTTTACATGGCGAGATAGAAGAAACTGTCCGAATGTTGCTCTGTGGTATTTTGGCCCATTCCCGGATAAGCGCTTGCCTGAGTGTATCGACATTCTGGTATTTTTTAGTGACAACCTTGCTCTCCAAAATACTTCAGATGCAATAGCCCAACGGAGATTTTTCTGACCATTGTACGCTGGAAATCAAGCGAGGAACCTCATTTTATAACCATTCTTCGATGGCGGTTCTGAGTCCTGTTGGAATGCCCAAGGTCTGCGGCCAAAATGTTTGCGTGTCCAGAGCTTTAATACACCCTCCACCCTTTATGTTTGCAACAGCGATTTTTTTTTCATTTGCCTCTCCCATAGAAGTCTTTCTCTCTATTTGCAAAAAAAACTTTAGTAGTCGATTTTCACAATCCTCCCTAGGTACCAATTTTTTATCTTTAAAGAAATTTTGAATGCAAGAAAAATATGATAATCGGTTAGGGCCAAAACTGATTGGTGGATGCATTAGAAGTTTTTTTTTTACTGCGAAATGTCACCCTTCCAACGATCATAGATCTGAAATTGTTTGATCGGTACTTTACGAGAAATCTATTAGTACAGCCATCTGCCTCCAAGCCCAACCTAATATTTGGATTTTTGGACAATTTTGCTCTAATTTAAAATTTGGGGGTTTTCAATGGGTGTAAGTTCTCACTACGAAAAATGGGTTAAGTTTTTCAACTGCGGTGGCTGTAATATTTTGGTTTATCATTGGGTAGGAAGAACATCAGTTATAAATGTTTGGGCACGTTTTTCAACCGATTTGGATGTATTTCTACATTTTGGGTTTTGATTAGTTACAACCTATCTACCGACCAAATATTATCAATAGCGTTCCACGTTTAGTTATGGTTCCCATATAACGGTAGCTCTCAATTTTGAGGATTTGGGGTATGTTTTTCAATCGGATTGGCTCAAATTTGATATTTTGAGCTCTCATTAGGTGTTAAATCTTCCTAACAAAAATTATAAATATTGATAGATATTTGTGTATAATAGCCCCTATATAAAGTTTAAGACACTTTATGTATATTTTTATGGTCTAAGAAGGATTTACCAACCGAAATGATTATATTTTAGCATTACAATAATGGTTTTAATTTGTCATTCCGGAATCTACAAAAATTATAAATATCAGACGATCTTTAGTTATGGCCTCATATAAAAATACGGCCCCTTTTCATCCAAATGACAATAGTTTAGCATTACGAAGCGGCTGTTGTTTAGCATTTCGAGGCCTTGATGGTTAAAAAATAATTATTTACAGAACATTTTCAATAGAAGTACATGTTGCTCCATAGCTTCTTCATACAAAGGTCAAGCGACATTTTGGCTATGTTCAAGGTCATATCACAAATTTCCAAATTTCATAAATTGATAGGCAGCAGTTGATCATGTCAAAGCCCCCATTTACAAATTCCCGATCGATTTTAGGTAGTTTGAATGTCCATCACATGGTGGAGGATGTACAAAGTTCGGTTCGGCTCGGAAGAACTTAACGACATTATTACTTCTTTAAAAATCGTTTTTTTTTTTTTCAATTTGTATTATAAGTGAGGATTTTTATACCCCATACAACGATGTTCTAAGGGTATATGTCTATGTTTCCACATAGACCCCACATAAATAAGTTAAGTGACATTTTCGCTATTTTCAAGGTTCTAGCCCAATTTTCCAATCTAAGTTTTTGTACATGCTTGTATTGTTTTTTTTCGTTTTTTCCTGACAGCTATTTACCATGCCAGTTAGGGGCTATATAAATGTACCTCTCCCATATAAAATGGTATAAACAGTTCGGTCCAACCGAATATGGCAACATTGTTCCTTGTTATTTGTTAGTCAAATATTTAAATGTCATGGCAAAATCATCTACGAATGGTCCATTCCTATATACATTGAAGTCTTAGGAAATATTCTAAGCTAATTTCCATACATCTTAAGCGATTAAAAATCGATTTCATACGAAAAAAACGTGAATAAATTGAAAAAAAAATAATTCCTTGTCCCGCAAAATACTTCCAATTTTTGCCAGATGAAGTTGTTGATTGCTGTTGTCGTTGCTATTGTTGTTCGCTGTATTTTTTTATTATTTTCCCAATGGCGATTTCTAGTCCGGCTAGGTAGATGATAAGTAGGAAAAAAAGCAAAACGTTTATGACGACACGTGTTAAGATATGCGAACCGAACCGATTAGGCGAACGTAGAACGCTTTAAAAGGGCCACAACAGACCGCTATAAGGCATCAGTCAACGATAGGCATTCACTTGTAATAGGTGAAAGAAAGTGATCTTAGGAGAGATAGTGGAGAAATTCTATTATTCTATATACCCCGAACATTTTTTTTGTCAACAACAAACCAAGTCCATTCAAAATGAATCACGGAAATGGTGGTATGGGAAATGGTAACGGAATGGGTGGTGGTATGGGTAATGGACATGGTAATGGAATGGGTGGTGGCATGGGAGGCGGAATGGGCGGCATGAATCATGGTGCCTGTCCAATGAATATGGCTGTAAGTATTTCTTTTATTTACAAATTTGCATTTTTCGAGATTATTGGATTTCCGGGATATAAATCCGCTAAGGTGTGAGTTAGAAATTATTAAATATTATTTCGAATAGTGGAACTTTGCGAAGTGAAATATTTTTTAGTAAAATATATTTTTATTTAAAAAAATAAAGATTATTATTAATAACTATATCATGCAACTGTCCTCGGAATCCCTGTCCTCGAAGTGAACTACTTTTCTCAATATTAAAAAAATCTGATCAGATACCTTGTGAAAAATTTATTTATAGTATTTTTTATTCAATATTAAACAAAAATCTAATAAAAAATGTGGTGAATAATTAATTTGTAATATTTTCACACCCCCCATTTCCAGTTCCACACCGGCTACAAAGAATGCATCCTATGGGAGGGTTGGCTAACCGAAACTGTCACCGAATTCGTGTTCTCGGCTTTAGGTCTCTTTCTGATCGCCTTCTGCTATGAAGCTATTAAATTTTCCCGAGAATATTTCTTACGTCGTACCGCCATGAAGGAGGCCAGCTTGCGTGCTAAACATTCGCATGGACACAAGGATGATGAAATGCCAACAACTTCAAGCCACATGCCATTGTTGGGTGAAAAGACATATCTCCAGAAAGTGTTTGCCAAGCCCCATCTAATTCAGACCTCCATAAATGTCATACAAGTGATTTTGTCCTATCTACTGATGTTGGTCTTCATGACCTATAATTATTGGTTGTGTATGGCCGTGGTATTGGGTCTTGCCGTGGGTTATCTATTCTTCGGATGGATCAAACAGGATGTCTACGATAATGAATGTTGTCAATAAGACTTTTTATAGAGTAAAAAAGAAAGCTGCATTTAACCAACGAAATTTTAGTTTGTAGTACTACTCAGATTTTAACTGTGCCATATTTTGATAAGTTTTTTATATATTATTATATTGAAATAAAATTGAAAAAAATTAAAAAAAATAAGAAAATCATTGGGAATTTATTTATCGATCGGACAATGTGGTATTGTGGCTATTTAGAGACATTGACATATATTGAAAATGTTCTGTGATGAAGTGATTTACCCATCAAGGTGCCAAAATGACAAATTGCAGTCACTTCGCAATGCTTTGGTTGGAAAATTCACCTAGTACCATCATAACTTTATATTAGTAATCAAATCGCACACTCTATAAGTTTTTTTTCACTCAAAAAATGTTCACAATTTTTATCCTTCGTTGGGAGGATGAATGGACCCATCATGATTTTTTGGATTTGGTCAAAATACGATGATGTGCAATGTTTAGCACATTCCATTCTCCAAATACTGGAGTTATAAAAATTGACAATTTAGACCATTTGTGGGGGAGTTACCCGAAATCGGACATTAAATAAAGTCCTATAGCTCATATAAAAATAATGGATTTCATTTTCCCCAAACTAATATTTGCTATCCTCAAAGAACCTGTAATACCGAATTACAGCTACTTGGGTTGGGAAAATGCTCATACTACCAAAAACGTGGCGGGCTTTTTATATGGGTGCTATGTAACAACCAGGGCTCATATAGAACATTTTCTAAAAAAATCTTGCTCACCCTTCAGAAAATTTACAGCCCTTTGGTAGGAAAATGCGAGTATAACATACAATATACAGAAAATTAGTCGAGACATTTATATGGAGGCTATGTCCAAACATGGACCAATTACTTACTTACTTAGCTGGCTTGTGACAGAACTTTCATTCCATAAGCCGAGTAAGAAAAGATTTCCAGGCGCGTCGGTCTTTTGCGCTGTTTTTCCAATTTTCGGCGATGTTGTCTTCGACTTGATCTTTCCAACATATTCTTGGCCTTCCCCTTCTGCCTTCTGGGCTGGGGCATCATCATCCATTCTCACAACATGAGAGAATGCAGCTCAATACGTCTAACAATGTCGATGCCCGAGAATTGGTGGTACAACTCATGGTTCATTCGACGGCGATATTCACCGTCAACGCAGATCAGCCCATAGATATTTCGGAGAATTTTTCTCTCAAACACTCCAAGAGCTGCGTCATCTGCTTGCTTAAGTACCCATACTTCAGATGCGTATAACAGCACGGGTAGTATCAGCGTCTTGTAGATTATAACATCTTTGACTACTTCGAAGCTGTAGGTCTCAAGTTCGACAATTGGTCCGAGACAACTGGACGTCTTGAGCGTTGATACCATCAGCTTGGTCTTCCCGCCGTTTACTGCGAGACCCACTTTGGCAGAATCCTCAATTTGTTTAAAGGTGGCTGTTACAGCTCTCAATGTTCGACCCATTATGTCGATGTCATCGGCGTAGGCGAGTAACATGGTGTACAGAGTGCCATTTCTGTTCACTTTTGCGTCTCGTATGACCTTTTCCAGCAGGATGTTAAAAATGTCATACGACAAACTATCACATTGTGTAAATCCTCGTTCGGCATTAAAGGGCCCAGAAAGGTCCTTTCCGACTTTAAGTGCTGATCTTGTGACTGTTAAAGTTATCCTGCATAGCCGAATTAATTTTGCAGGAATGCCAAACGCAGACATGGCTTTATACACCTCTGAACGGATAGGGCTGTTAAATGCGACTTTATAGTCGACGAATAGGTGGAATGTGTCGATCTGTTTTTCGTGGGTTTTTCCAGGATTTGGCGCGGAGTGAAAATCTGGTCAATGAAGGATTTATTAGGTGTGAAGCCACATTGGTCCAATAATGTCATTGACCATTGGCTTCAGTCGTTCACACAGTACGCTGGATCGCACTTTATATACGATGGGAAGGAGACTTATATCTCTATAGTTGCACATATCGTCTTGTCTCCTTTTTTGTGCACAGGACAAAGGAAATTAAAAATCCACGCCTCTATAAAACATCTTTCTTATCTAAAAAATATATGTTTAATTTATTTTTTATTTTTCATTCCAGATTGTTGTGAATTTCAGAATTTGCGTGTGATTACAATCGAAAATGATCTACAAGAAGTTGCAAATATGGCAGGACCGGCCGGTCTACAACGATAATTATATCTTTTGGAGTTATCGTGCTCTTTTTGGGTAAATTTCACAAAAATACCAGGCGCCCAGAAAAAAAAATAGAAAGTATCCCGCCAAAAATAAAAATAATGTAGAAGAAAATTAGATTAGACGAACCCCATTGAAATTGGAGAAAATCGGTTTAGATTTAGATATAGCTCCCATATATAGTTTCGTCCGATTTTTTGTGAATGATGCACCTAACTCTCAATATTTGTCCGATTGAAGCAAAATTTTGCACAGAGTACTGAATTAGGTCCCAACTGATGTATGCGAAATTTTGTTGGAATCGGTTAAGATTTAGATATAACTCACATATATAGTTTCGCCCGATTTTAGGTAAATGGTATGCCAAAGTCCCTATATATCTTCCGATTTGCACGAAATTTGGCATAGCGTACTGCATTGAGTCTAGAATGATGTGTGCTAAGTTTCGTGAAAATCAGTTCAGATTTAGATATAACTCACATATATAGTTTCGCCGGAAATGGTGCACCAAAGTTCCTGAAAATCATTCGATTTGCACGGATTTTGGCACTGAATTAAGTCTTGAATGACGTGTGCTAAGTTTCGTGAAAATCGGTTCAGTTTTAGATATAGCTCCCATATATAGTTTTGCCAGATTTTAGGTAAATGTTATGCAAAATTCACTATATATCTTTCGATTTGCACGATATTTGGCATAGCGTACTGAATTGAGTCTAGAATGATGTGTGTAAAATATCTTTAAAATCCGTTCAGATTTAGATATAGCTCCCATATATATGTTCGCCACATTTGAAGTAAGACCCAAAATACGAATGACATGTTTATGGATTGATCTAAGTCGGTTCACATTTAGATAAAGGTCACATATTTTAGTTCATCCAATTCCATGTTAATGGCCCTTCTGTTAGAATGCATTCGTTTAATATATCCATAGTGGTGAAGGGTATCATATAGTCGGCTCCGTCCGACTTTACTACTTTCTTAATGGTTTTTTTTTTGGCGCGTAACTTCATATTTTAATCTGAGCGCCTGGTATTTTCGCGAAATTTGTCAGAAAAATGGACAAATTTTTTGGCGTAGATTTTTAAAGAATATTTTTTCATGGGTCAACAATTAAGGCGTGGATTTTTTAAAGAATATTTTTTCATGGGTCAACAATTAAGGCGTGGATTTTTTAAAGAATATTTTTTCATGGGTCAACAATTAAGGCGTGGATTTTTTAAAGAATATTTTTTCATGGGTCAACAATTAAGGCGTGGATTTTTTAAAGAATATTTTTTCATGGGTCAACAATTAAGGCGTGGATTTTTTAAACACTTTTTTTTCATGGGTCAACTATTAATGCGTGGATTTTTTAAAGAATATTTTTTCATGGGTCAACAATTAAGGCGTGGATTTTTTAAAGAATATTTTTTCATGGGTCAACAATTAAGGCGTGGATTTTTTAAAGAAAATTTTTTCATGGGTCAACAATTAAGGTGTGGATTTTTTAAAGAATATTTTTTCATGGGTCAACAATTAAGGCGTGGATTTTTTAAAGAATATTTTTTCATGGGTCAACAATTAAGGCGTGGATTTTTTAAAGAATATTTTTTCATGGGTCAACAATTAAGGCGTGGATTTTTTAAAGAATATTTTTTCATGGGTCAACAATTAAGGCGTGGATTTTTTAAAGAATATTTTTTCATGGGTCAACAATTAAGGCGTGGATTTTTTAAAGAATATTTTTTCATGGGTCAACAATTAAGGCGTGGATTTTTTAAAGAATATTTTTTCATGGGTCAACAATTAAGGCGTGGATTTTTTAAAGAATATTTTTTCATGGGTCAACAATTAAGGCGTGGATTTTTTAAAGAATATTTTTTCATGGGTCAACAATTAAGGCGTGGATTTTTTAAAGTCAATTATACTTACCAAATTTTTGCATGGCAAATCAAAATAAAAATGTTGTTGTTTGTTTTTTTGTTTTTTATATTATTAAAAATGATCTTTATTTAGAATACAACAAAAATCTACAACCAAATAAAATAAGTATTTTTTGTTTTTGTTATTATTATTATTTTTTGTTTTAAATATTTTACACTAAATTCTTGTTCTCTTATAGCCTAGACAGACGACAGCCTTAATTTGCATTAACAGCCTTAATTCAAATTAACTTGTACATAATCCTCATTTTTATGTGTTGTTAATGCACAAAATCAAACTGAATTTATACTGAATTAAGCAATTTCAATATGGCAATGCTGTAGAAAATAAATTGATTGTTGTCAAATTTGTTTACGATTACGAAAATAAAAATTAGAAATAAAGGCAAAATTCAACATTTCTTCAAATTTGGAGCTGTTTTATCTTAATTATAGCTGTTACTTTTCCTTCCTGTCATGTATCAATTTCAAAAAGATGTAATCCTAAAAAATATTGTAAACAAATGTCAATATTTTCTTCCTACACACAGACAAACAATACTTTTGAAAGAAAAAAACTGGTTCATAAATGCAGAAACTCTCGTCTGTCAGGGGTAAATTTTAATTCAAATTAAGAACTTTTTAATGCAAATTAAGGCTGTCGTCTGTCTATGGTATTACAGATAATTTCAATTTATGTTTCATGTTGTTTGCTTTGTTCGGTTTGTTTTTTTTTTGTTCTTATGTTGTTTTTTTATTTTTCCTTCATTAAATTTAAATAATAATAATTATAATAAATTTGTTTTGTTGTTGTTGTTTGTTTTTGTGAAATCTTGTCATTGAAATTTGTTTGTTTTGTTATTATTCGTATATTTTTTTAAATTGTTTTTTGAGTTTTTGAAATTTTACACTGATCATCATTATACACATACACAAAGATCATTCATCATCGATTCATTCATTCGTCCCATCCAACCTCATTGTGGTGGCGATAATTCAGGATTGACTTGGGGTCAAACCTGAATTGATCGTTCCTATTTTTTTTTTTGCTTTCATTTTATTTTTTTACTTCTCTCGATTTAAGTTGAACAGAAAATTAAATTTTTGTAGTCCAAAGGACTTTTCCTGCTTAACTTAAATCCAACGAATTTTTTTGTTTTCTTTAATTATTTACTTATGTGTTATTATATGTATAAGTATACTTGCTATATATATATATATATGCTACATACATATGTATATAAAAAATAATGACTAATATCGAGAAAAAAGAAACTAAAAATAAAAATACTTAAAATTTAAATTGGTATCGTATAAAATAAATATATGTATGTATATGCGATCGTTTTTATTGCTTATAACGTAAAAATCTAGACAAATCTGTATGTGTCTGTGTGTGTGAGTGTATATATTTGAGTTGCTGCTGCGGCTAGACAAGAAAAATATCAATCGAATCGATGCTCAACGATATTTTCTCTGGCTATGGTGGGAGGAGAGTATAAACATTTTCATTTGAGATAATTTCCGGATTTTTTTTCTCCATAGAACTTCGAAAAAACGGGAGAGTAAAGGAATTAAAGGTTGCGGAAAAATCAAGTTATTTATGCTGCCTTTTGTGGTTTTGATTTTTTACCGGGGATGGGTTTGAATTGAGCAAGAATTTTGGTTTCGTTTTCTTTGATATGGACCACTGGATTCATTGCAAATAAAAAATATTCAACGGCTTTCCCGCTCCTGAAGATCACCTCATCTCTCTCCTGGCATTCCATTTTTTCTGTAATCTCGTGATTTTTGTTTTTCATTCTCAAGTTGGGGTTGTTGTTGTGGCTGCTGTTGCTGCTGTCGGAGTATCATTTACAAGCAAATCCAATAATTGTTTTGCCAAAATCTTTTTTCATAATTCTCATAAACTTGTGGTGCCCGTGGTCATCATGCCACCGGGATGATGCATGCCACCATTCTGGAAGTACATATAGTAATTGGCATAGGGCTGTTGTGAGGCGGCGGCTGCAGCCACTGCCACCTGTGTGGCAGCCACTTGATGTTGGGCCAAAGCGCTGGTGGTATTCGAAGCACTCTCACAATCCAACAGCTGTTGGTGTCCGCTGACCGCTGAACCACCTACCGGCGATGGTGTCATCGGCAGACTGGCTGTGAGACCACTGTTGACGGGATTGCCAACCTGACAGCTGGCACGCAATGCCACCGCCTGATGATGGGCCAAGATGTCGGTAACGGTGTGCGGTGATGGCCAGCCATGAGCCACGGCGGCGGCTGCCGCAGCCGAATGGACCTGATGCGGTGAACCTGTCTGGGGCGGAGAGGGTGTGCCGCATGACACTGTCGATTTCATGCTATACGCATTGTAGGGCTGGTAATACAAATGGGGATGGTGGGCATGGGCAGCGACAGAGGCAGCCGCAGCGGCCGCCTGGTGGGCCTGATGAGCATGGGGATGGGCTGTGACTGAGGCGGCTACAGATGTCACCACCGAGTGGGGCGGCGTGTGGTGCATATGACCGTGTCCATGATGATTGTGTGAGCCATGGGTGGGTGTATGGGCATGGGCACTGTGGGCCGCATGGGCCTGAGCCAATGAGTGAGCGTGTTGCTGCTGCTGTTGTTGTTGCTGCTGTTGTTGTTGCTGCTGTTGCTGTTGGGCCTGCTGCTGCTGCTGTTGGCTGTGCGAATGCTGAGGTGATGTACTGGGTGGCGGTGCTGGTGTGGCCACAGGGGCCGGTGTCGGCGGATGATGGCTAATCGGATTCAATTTGTTGCGCAGTATTCGTGATATCGAGCTGACACTGGGCACATTTGTCTTATCGCAGATACCCTCGCTGAGTAAACGATCACGGATCTCCCAGGCGAAAATGCCGGGATCACGCTGTTTCAACTCGCGTATATGATTGACAACCTTCGGGGTGGTAACGCGCGGCTTAGAGCCACCAATTGCACCCGGCAGTATGGAGCCCGTCTCATGGTATCTGGCCAGGATTTTCGAGACACAACCATGGCTGACACGCAGCTGGCGGCTAATATCACAGGGTCGTATGCCTAGGCGGGCCAGCTCCACAATGCGCATGCGTGTGGCATTCGGCAGGGGTCGTCCATTAACGAAGACACCACCCAATTGGTTGACTTCACCATATTGAGGGCATTGATTTTCTGGAGGAAATAGAAGAGAAAGAGGGGGAGAAGAAAATTTATGATTAATATCTATTTTCCAAGGAAAAGCTTATTGTAAGAAATCAGAAGAAAATAATAAAAGAAGTAGAAAAATAATAAAAACAAAGAAAGAAATTATTTGAATTGGAATGTTTTCCTAGAAAATAAAAATCTAAGTATGTACGTATGTCCGTATGTTTTTTCTAGTACGCTCTGAATATGCCTCATTTTTTGTAATTAGTTCATTGAACAGAAAAATAACAAAAAAATTGCAACAACAACAACAACTGTAGCATTTGTTGGAATTTATTGGCTGTGAAGCACCATCATCAGCATTGGCATAAGTAAAACCGCACGGACTTGTGCTGCATCTGTAGACTTTGTGCCACCAACCAACCATTGTTTCTAGTTCCGAGAATTGTTGCGGATATTGTTAATGTTTGTTTTCTTGTTTTTGTTTGTTGCAATTTTTAGTTCTTGTTGTTATTTTATTTTTTTTTTCATTGTAAGAGGAAGCATGTGTGTTGAATGAAAGTTTTTTTTTGCTAGTCCCAAGTTTTTTTTTTCTTATTTTTCGGGAAAAGGAAGCCTTCATTCATGCCATTTGAATGAGATTTGGAATGACCTAATTTTTTGTTGAAATATTTTGTTATTGATTATTTATCGATATTGGTTATCGATATTGGATTATGGTAACAACGGAATCATTTTAACATTATATGTTGCAAATAAGAAACAATACGGTAAAAAATGCATTGTTTCGATTTCGATTAATTATCGATAAATCGATAATTATCGATAAATTCCAGATTTTGTTAAAATATCGTAAAAAAGTGTATTTTAAAAATAAAATGCCTCAAATATTGAGTGATAATAACAAAAATCTTTTTTTCGATTTTGAGAAATTTCGATAATTATCGATAATGTTTACAAAATGTTATTGGCAAAATAAAATAAATATTGCTTAATTAAAATGCATGAGAAAAGTGTAATTTCAGTATAACTACTTCAAAAAATCATTTCGATATGTTTCGATAATTATCGATACTGCAATATTTTCACAAATTTTAGTATTTTTTGGTTTCAAAATTGTTATAGACAATGTAAAATGGAGTTTTTACTAAAATTTCTATGTAATTAGTTTTCAAAATGTAATTGGAAAACTCAATTTATCGAAATCGGAATATATCGTAATTGAATATTTATCGATATAAATGATTGCATATTACATATATTGACATGATATTGGAAGAATATTAATGACTGATGTTGAGAATTAATTGATTCAATTTCGATTAATATCAATATTTTGAGTTAATATTTCGATAAGTTTCGATAATTGTAAAAATTTTGCAAACATTTTTCTCATTTATTAATTTTTATTCGTAAACATTTGGGAAACAATTTAAATCAATTGAAATTGTTTCAATTAATTATCGATAAGTTGAAATTAAATTTCGATAAGTTTCGATAAATATGAAAATTAGGGAAAAAAGTTTTAATTTGTCAAAATGTCATTCATTAATATTAAATAAAGAATTTGAATCATAGAAACTGCATTACATCGCTATAGAAATGTGGAATTAAATTTCGATAAGTTTTGATAAATGTTAAAATTTCACAAAATATTACGATTTTGACAAATGTTATTAATACATATTAAAGGAAAACATTTAAATCGATTAATTTTTTATCAAATAGTTTACACAAGTTAAGTTATCGATTAAAATAGGCAATCGATAATTTAACTTGTGTAAACTATTTGAAAAAAAGTAATCGATTTAAATGTTTTTCTTTAATATTTATATGGACAAAAATTGTCAAAATCGAAATATTTTGTCAAATTTTAACATTTATCGAAACTTATCGAAATTTAAATTCATTTTTAACTTTAGTAACAATTGTAATAATCGATAAATGCAATATTTTATCAAAATCTGCTGGTTATGTTGGTAAATAAAGATTTTTTTTAATTTATATTATTTTTATTTAATTTATTTTTAAATAAATAATCATTATTATTTATTTCGATAACTATCAATTAATATTTAAAAAAAACTCAGTTTTGCCATAATAAACCCATAATCCTAAATAGAGACCCTCCTCTGTGTCACTGCTGGTTAATTTAAAACAATATAATTAATTGTCACCTTTTGTCTTTCCATTTTGTGGCGGATTTCCCCAAAAGGGAACCCACCCTTTAGGAAAAGCCAGTAGATAAAGATCGTTAATCATTTGTGATGAGCCAAAAAACGAAAACCAAGTGATTGAAAGAAATTGCACAAAATTTAGACATTTCGATTAAAATCTAAACACTTCATGTGACAACATGATGTGACAGTGATTGAAGAGGCAACAAGCTACTAAAAAGCTACTGAGTATCTCTCGTTACACAATTTCGCCATATGTTGTCCAATTTGCCATTGGATACTAAGCAGTTTCTCCTTCGTTGCTCAGTGGCCAATTGCGAATTGGAAGGGAAACCCAAAAATAGTACCAGGAAATTTCATTTTCACTGTTCTTGTTTAAAAATAGAGCATTCATTTTTTCTGTTTTGTAATCTTCAAATTTTTTTATTTCCCTATTTAGCCACACTTGTAGACCATTTGAAAAAAATAATCTCATTTCATTCATTCATTTTTTTATTACCATTTCTTTCCTCCATTTTTTGTTTGTTTATGAATGAAACGTGATTTACTCGATTACATGTTTATCAAGTGTGCAGCATTTTGCTTGCGGTATATGCGGAGTTGTCACTCACTCACTTGTTCCGTTCACCAGAAATCCAATACAGTATGATTTCGAAAAGAAAAAAAATAGAACCAATAGCTTTTCTAGCCCCATAAATAATAGCATGATATTGAATGAACCAGCGAGCGAACAAACGGCTGGTGGTTGTTGCTGTTGATAGGAGTACAATCAGACAACCAGCTAGCCATTCAGTCAGTTATCCAATCCAGCCACTGGTGGTATTGTGGGCAGATTTCTATTTTGTATGAATGGATGTTTGTGTGTTGGGCAGTAATATGATCCGAATATAATTGCCCAGCCTAAACAACCAACAACTGTTAACACCATTTGGAAACAATCTTAAAGAGGTTTTTTACAATAAAACAATACCATTAAACTAATGCGGGAGAGGCCAATAGAAGAAATAAGGGGTTAGGCGCACACAATAGATTTATAATTTTTGAAAAAAGATTATTTTTATTTATGCTTATTTAAAGTAAAATGGTACAAATCTCCACGTTGGGCGCCATTTATGTCAATTTAAAATTTGTTAATTGAAGAATTCTTTTGAAAAACGTTGGGCGCCATTTCAAAAATAGTATTTTATTCATATTAACATTAACAAGGATTATGGAAATCAAAGCTTTTTGTGATTTAACATATATTTATATAATTGTGGCGTCCAACGCTGACCTCTGAAATATTTTAACTCACGTTGGGCAGAAAATATAGTCTTTTTATAAGATAATTTTTTCAAAATGAAACATAATATTTGTATGTTTATAAATTTTAAATGTTATGATAATTCTACGTTGGGCGCCATTTCAAAAAAAAAAAAAAAAAAAAAAAAAAAATTGCACCCAATTTGAATTTTTAAAATGAATATAAGTCTAACTCTCATGGTGTTCCTCAATGTTTTAATATAATTAGAGAAAATATATAACTACACGTTGGGATCCATTTCAAAAATATTATTTTTTTGGTGTTAAACTTAAGAAGGATTTTCGAAATGGTATATTTTAGGGATTTTACTTTTTATAACTCTCGTTGGGCGCCATATCAGGAAATATAGTATTTTTTATATGATTAAGTTGTAAATCTTTGAAAAAAGAAAAATAATATGTTTATGTTTATTTAATTTTACATTGTACATAACTCCACGTTGGGCGCCATTTATGGTAATTTGAAAAAAAAAACTGATATTGCTTTCAATTTCAATTTTTAGAACAATAATGAGTCTACCTCTCATGCTGTTCCTCAATGTTTTAATGTAATTTGGAAAAAATACATAATTGCACGTTGGGCGCCATTTAAAAAATATTATTTTCTTGGCATTAAACTTGACAAGGATTTTCGAAATCTTATATTTTCGTGATTTTACAAGGATTTATATAGTTAAGAGAATTATGGCGCCCAACGTAGACTTCTAAAATAATTCTAAGTCACGTTGGGCGCCATATCAAAAAATATAGTCTTGTTTTATAAGATTAAGTTATAATTTTTTGAAATAATATTTGTATGTTATGATAATTCTACGTTGGGCGCCATTTATAGCAATTTGAAAAAAATCAGATATTGAACACGATTTGGATTTATAGAACGAACAAAAGCCTAACTCTCATGGTGTTCTTCACTGTTTTTAATGTAATGTTGAGAAAATATATAACTACACGTTGGGCGCCATTTCCAAAGTATTATTTTCTTAGTATTAAACTTAACAAGGATTTTCGAAATGCTATATTTTCGTGATTTTACAAGGATTTATATAGCTAAGAAAGCGTAGACTTCAAAAATATTCTAACTCACGTTGGGCGCCATATCAGAAAATATAGTTCTTTTTATACAAAAATCGAATATATTTAGCATATCTTTCATGGTGTTCATAATATTTTATTATAACTTAAAGAAAATATTAGAGTTGAGTAGTTCCGGAACGGACTAGTTCATTGGAACTATTCCGAGAAAGGAACGATCGGAACTAGTTCCAGCTCTTTAATTAATATAGTTCCTTTTTCTGATCTCGTTTCGAGAGATACATTTATTACTATGTAAATAGTAAAATTATTTTATTTAAAATATTTTTATTTATTTATTAACAACCTAATATGTTGTGCTCATCGTCCTCCAGTTGAATTCTGTAGCTTTTGAATATTCTACTAAAAGAACTATATGAAATGAAGGAACTATATGAAGCAAAGGAATTACATTAAGGAGCTAGTTCCTTTTTAAGGAAGGAAAAAGATCGATCCGCTACGTGAACTAGATTGCCC